AACTAATATATGCGTATACACACATAGAATTCTGGTACACACACACAGCTATATACACATGCACAACATATTGACCCTAGGAGTAATCTACAGAAAAATAAAATTCACCATCTAATTGTAGAGAATAGTGGTACTATGAGATAGATCCTTAAAGTGTTACAAAACTATGGCTACCACAAGGGAAGAGGACTAAAGGCATTGATTTTTATGAAGCATTTAATATGGGTGCCAGGTGCTTTATGCTGAAGCATGATGTCTTTTAATCCTCAGAGTGATCCTGTGAGATGGAGATTATCAGGCTCAAATGATTAAATACCTGTACACTGCACTAGTAACGGACAGACTTAACTTTAAAATGCCACTCGGATCACAGGTCACAGCTTGTTCTGTCCACTGTGTTGCCTCCATCCCCTGCTGGACAGTGAGGTGGAGGGGGGCGCGCCTTTGTTCCTCCAGTTGGATGTCTACTCCTTCTCATCTGTGAATGAAAGCACTCCTCTAAACTCAGGACTCACTTCTACCACTGGCTTTTTCTGACTATGCTAAACCCGAACCAAATCCACTGCCGTCAAGTCGATTACACCTCAGAGCAACCTGACGGACAGAGCAGCCTCTGTGGCTTTCAGAGGCTGTCAGTCTTTATGGGAGCAGAGTCTCATCCTTCTTTTCAATAGCAACTGATGGATTTGAACTGTTGATCTTTGGTTTGATGTTCTACTCTGTCACCAGGGCTCTGGGCAATACTTGTGCTTATTTCTAAGTGTCTTTTCATTCTGTGAAACACAGTATGGACGCACTCTGACCATACACAGTGCGGTCGCCAGGAGCGGAGGGTGCGTAACAACAAGAATAATGTTGTTTTCCAAATCTGTTCAGAAAGTGAGTTTATGTGCTGAAGGATACCAAGTTATCTAAATCGATTTTGATCTTGAATTTTGGGAAGCAGGTCTGGAGAGTTCAGATTGGAATTGATGTGAAATATTGTCTCAATCTTTTCTTATCCCGAGTTTAAGGAACATAAATTTTTGAGGCACAAGGACTATTAGTACAATAAAACACATACAAACTATTGCAGGTATGAAATAAGTACCATTAGTCAAGTGCCAAGGACTTCCCCGTGCGATATCCCTAGATGCAAGAATGTGTTTATTCAATAAGTAAGCAGTTATTAGAAGCTCACCATGGGCCTGATGTTGAGGTATGAACTGGAGATTCACATATCTTACTTGATCATTGGCTTAGGAAACAGAGAATTCGCCAAACAATTGTAGTAAAATCCAAGTGTGGCAGTAGAAAAATACATGGTGTTACAGGAAAACAGACCATGACCATTCCGGAATTAGGATGTGGCCAGAGACTGTCTGAGCAGGATGAGGAAAGGAGGAGTGTTTCAATGGCTGTTTGTTGAGCGCCGACTCTGTGCCACCCATTGTCGGTGCACTTGGTCCACCAAGGGAAACCAGAGCTCTTGCCTTTCTGAAGTTCACACCCTAGTACATCGTTCAGGTCTTAGTAGAAGTAGCTTAACTACTTCTGGTTCTGGAAGGCCAGGTGAAATTCGGGCAGTATAGATGGAGGCCAGTTGTAGAAAGGGGCACTTCACATGGAGGAGACAGAGAGAGCAAAGGCCCAGAGAAATGATGGGGAAAGTTCATTGACTAATTTCTTAGCAGTGTGTAAACCAAAGAAACTGGATAGCAACTCAATTGAATCAACGTGTACTTAATAAAACCGTTTCTTCCTCAGTGCCTCCTCTATGTTATGTGCGTGGATGGTAGGAGGTATCTTACTAAAAGCATTTTGGAGGGTAGAGAAAAGGCCTGGGGTGGGGTGGATTGTTTATTACTTTGATGGCGAACATGAAAATTGACATCCCCATGGTAAAGGAAACAACCACAAGATCCAAGTGATTGACTCTCTTGAGGCTTCTTAGAGGAAGCAAATGAGTTTATGAATTCCTGAACCCAGGCCCTGGGACAAGCTGCCACCTCTCTGAGGCCTAGCTCCAGCCAGTAGGATGCGATTTCAGTCTTTGCTTCTAGATGGAGGCCGTAAGAGAGGGTGTGACCTACTCTGCTTCTCTCCTTTCAGACTGCTCTGCAATGACCACAGCACGGTACCGGCCCACGTGGGACCTGGCCCTCGACCCACTGGTGTCGTGCAAGCTCTGTCTCGGAGAGTATCCAGTGGAGCAGATGACGACTATAGCCCAGTGCCAATGCATCTTCTGTACTCTGGTTCGTCTTCTCAGATGAGATACACGTTTGAAATGATTTCAGGATGAGCTTTTTCACTTCAGCCTTTAGACACACCCAGCAAACCTGTGGCCTAACTTTTGTGTGGTGGCAGTCTTCATTATCATCTAGTTAGTAAAGGGTTTCTTCTCTGAGCCGACTCCACAAGTGAAGCTTTCCACCACCATTGTTTATGATGGGAAAGGAATCACTCAAACCAAATGTAAAGTTAGTAACTCAATTCATGAAACCTTGTTGTGGCTGAGTGGTTTTACTTATTTTTTAATTTTACTATTTATGTGCTTAAGGGTATAAGAGGTACTGGTGCCTAGCTAGACTATTATTCATTTGCTCATGTTATTTTTCATTGCTTTAATGCTAATTTTGAATGTCTACATCTGGATATCATATGTAAATTTCCTTAAGATGTAGCCAACATTGTACTAAGGGCCAAATGAATGTTTTCAATGAATACAAGCACTTCTGTTGACATCAGAAGGAATTCTGGGGGGGCTATACTTGGGGTTGCTGACTGGAACCACCAGTCCATCGTTCCCTGGGAGACAGGTGAGGCTTTCTACTCCCATAAAGATGTGCAGTTTGGAAAACCACAGGGGCAGCTCTCATCTGTCCTCTAGGCCCCGAGAGTTCAAAGGGACTTGATGGCAGTGAGGTTTCGTTTTTCTTGTTCAGTTTTGTTTACAACAGCTCAAACTGCACCCAAAATTTTATTCTTCAGAAAAGAAAAATGAAATTTTAGGTTTTCTTTTTAATCTCATTTTCTTTAAATTTAAAGGAAACAAACAAACAAACAAACAAACAGAAAAACATTCTTCAAAGTTTAAGAAAACAAATTTTTTTCTTCTTTTTATTTTAAAACTTCATTTCCAACCTGAATTGCTATTGCATATGCACATTATGGACTGCCAACTTGGGTATTTTCAAAATGTCTACATTTCAATCTCTAATTCAAAGTGTGAAATAGCCTGTCACACTAGATGTGTTCCTCTCTCCTGTGTATATTTTGCAGAATTTATTTTATTGTGCCTCATGATCTCTGTGCAAATCTGATCTTTATTTTATGGGTAGAGTCCGAGCTTTAAAAGATTCAAGTGTGCCTTCTCTGATCCCTGTTGATGCTGGACTCCAACGTCCTCCCAGGGAGAAGAATTTGCAGCTCATTCTGTGTGCACTCTGATGCCTCGTCCTAGTGAATTGAATTGATGTCAATCCATCTTGGTGTTTGTAGTTGACACCCAAGAAATGGGCCTCATTAACATCTCAGAAAATCAACTTCAGCAAGAAGCAAAGGGAATTGCTTTCGACATTTTTTTGAGTTGAAGGGAGGAGAGGGAGAGTGGGCTTGGGGGAGAGTGGGGAGATAGACCTCCATCCCCTTGTCCAAATGGATTGGACCCCTTCACACTTCCAGCAGGGATCTGGGATGTTCAGGAATGCCAAAATGGATCGAACAAATTAGCTTTATGCAAAATTGCCTCCCTCTTGCTGGAAGGGAAGTCTTCCAGTCTTAACCAATTGTATAGCTTCCCCTTTGCATACTGTAGCTTTGGGCCAGTTTGCTGTCTGTCAGAGTCATGTGCACGCTCCCACCTCCCATGGGAGGACCCTCGTGAGCCTTCCCTGGAGATAGTGCACGTCTCCTCCCAGGCTGCCAGCAAAGCCTCTGTGTTGTGTGTTTTCATTTTTCCTGGGTTTTGTTTTCTATTTCAAGAGAAATGGAGAGAAAAACAAAAACATAAAAAACACCCTAGTTCAGACCAAACAATTTAAGTTGTTGAATGTAAAAGCAGAAGCTACACAATTTTCTCAGAAATGGGTTGGTAGACTATGGAGAATTACAATGTCAGAAAGATTGTAGCTTTTGTCTCTGAATCCCTGTGGGGGAAGCAAAGGAGGCTGGGAGGGGCTGGTGCCAGCCAGCGTTTCAACCATCATTTCTTCTGACAGTTTCCTCTCTGTCACTGTCCTCGGGCAGGTGTTGGGGAGGAGCCCCCGGCAAAGGGGCTGCAGGGGTGGTGACTGTCCTGTCCCTGGAGGAAAGACAAGGGGAGTGACACGAGTATGCAGAGGAGATGACAGAAAACAAAAAGAGGCATTCTTCCCCAAACAAATAGTTATTAGAGAGAGAACTGCAGGGAGTTCGGAAGTAAATTTATATCCGAGCAGACAGAGCTAGTGGGGAAAGCTTGGTTGTAGGAGCAATGCCAGTGTCTTTCAGACCTGTGGACAGGTGCTGTGTCAGTTGTTAGGGACCACATGCAACAGGATGGAACTGCTGTCGTTTTTTCAGGGGGAGCCCTTGCTGGCAGTTAGGTAAGTGCTGGCTGCTAACCGAAAGGTGGACTCTGTTAGGGAGAAAAGGGTTACAATCAGCGTTCATAAAGATTTATAGCCTTGGAAGCTTGTGGGGTTGTTTGGCTTTGGCCTGTGAGCCAGAGTCAACTTGACAACCGTGGGTTTTCTTACGTCTCAACAGAAGCAGGGGCTCTCAGCCGGGACTTTCTCTCCTGGAGCCTGCGGGGAGGTTCCAACCACCAACCTTTAGTTAAGATACATGTTGTAACCACAGAGCTGCTTATTTCAGAACATAGGCGACCTCTGACCCTCTCTGTGTAACGGACTTCACAGGGAGCTGATGGGCCCTCATGGGGAAAGAACATAGGCAAAACTCTGGTCACATGCCGCTTTTCCACAGGCCTGCTTCCTTTACACTCTGTTCCTAGCTGGAACTTAGAACTGCAGAAGAGTTAAACAAAAGAAAAAGACCTTGGTGGTCGTTTGGTCCAAACCTGTGATCTGAAGAATATGTCTCTTTAAAAGTCACACTAGAAAAAGTAATATTAGTACTTTTTAGGTTCCCTGGGTTTCCAACCACTGTGTGCGGTGCCCCTTTCTATGTCCACCACCCAAGACATTCTGGATGCCCAAAGTCATGCAGAAAGCACAGAGGAAGCCCAAAGTAGAGATGGACTTTTTATTTAACTGCATTTCCCAAATTTATTTGGGCATGATGAAGTTGTGCCTACCAGTCACTGGCACGCCTTTGCTGTGCAGCTCGGATGGTGCCTCGTGCTTGCTAAAGGGGAGGGGCAACAAAAGTGATAAAGGCCTTCAATGAAGCAGATTGACACAGTGGCTGCAACAGTGGGCTGAAACCTAAGACAACTGAGAGCATGGCACAGGGCCGGTGGTGTTTCCTTCTGTTGTACAGAAGGTCTCAATGAGTCAGCACCAACCAAGGCACCAATCAACAGCAGGAGGGCATATTGTAGCTTTCATTGTCATGTGCGATTTTGATGAGGGGCCTGAGTGTGTGATGGGATTCGGGTGGGGGAGCAATCTGTTGGATAAGGAATTAAAGGGCCTCCACAAATTATCTTAGCACCACACACATTTCAGGGACTATAGTAGGCTTCAGGGATTTGCAGATCATGAGCCTTATCAGATATCTTCAATGGTTGCATTTCAGCCCAGAATGAAAATGAATTTTGAAAACAATTTTATTGACAAATAATTCACATCATGTTCTCTCCACAAAGACTTAGTTGGTGCCTCACTTAGATGGCTTCTTGTTTTAAGACAAGTCTGTAAGACACTAGATGCTAGTCAACAGTTAAATCATATTAAGAAGAGTACAATCATCACCACAGTCAATTTTAAAACATTTTCTTCTTTCTTGTACTCATTATTATTAGCTCTCCATTTTCCCCCACCTCCCCAGCCACAACCCTAGGTAGTTATTGATCCAGTTACTGACTCTATAGCTTCACCTAACCTGGATTTTATATACAGAAAATCATACAACATAAGAAACAAGCAAATACCAAAATAAAACAAACAACCCAGCAATAACAACCAAATAAAAATAAAGAAAAACTTTAATCTAAAAGAAATCAGAAGACGTAAAAAAATGAAAGAACTTTAAAATGGATCCGAAGGTAGATCAAATGATT